TATGGCTTTCATTCACATTTATCTTTTTTGTGATTTTTTTGGTTTTTCACCTTATTTTAATATAATTATTTAATTACTCTATGAATTACAGTCATAAATGAAATAAGGGGAAGGAAAGAGATCTTTTGGTAACAGACTTTTTTACTATTAAAATATGATAATTATTACACTTACTATTGATTCCATTCATCCATTGTAACTCCTGAAGGTACGTTTTTTTCTTCTTCTTTTTTCTTTTTCGCCATTACTCAATATTTACCGCCCTATTTAGTACCTTTCATAATTATAGGAGTGACTTTTAAGACAGTGGTCTTCATTTTAGTACAAATAAATATGGCACCCAAGAGTCCGTCCCTTTCAAATAGTCCTGCTCTCAACTAAATTTTTCATTCCTTTTGGCATCAGGTCAATCCCTTTGGAATATTTTTTTTGTTCTTTATCTTTTGAAATATTTTTGCCTAGAACATGGTTACTTTGGATGTAACACTATTTACTCTACTTTTGTTTTACGAAAATTATTGATGTATTGATTTTCTGATAATGATTATTTCCAAATGTTATTTGTTCTCTTCAATTTTTTTGATTTGGTGGATGTAATTCTTTTATCCTGTTTTTATATTTTACTGATTCATTAATATGTTGTTTGTACCAGATTAGTATGGTTTTCAATTGACGTTGCTCTCTTCTTCTTCTTTGGATTCGTTCTATTTGTTGATATGGAAGTGAAACTTCCTTTTTGGTTTCTAATGAATATGAGTTTTTTGAAATGAAAGCAAGTTTGTCAAGGTATTATAATCTCTAATGCCAATTATCTTGTGTTTCTTTTTGAAATAATTTATACATCTTGTTTTCTTTGTTTTGGAATATATATATGTATATATATATATATATACACTTTAATATCTTTCATGTATTTTACTAGAGGTGTTTGTTTGTTGCTAAGATTAAGAACTATATCAATAATAGTACGTACAAATGTTGTTTTAACATATGTTTTACCATAGAATACGTACTTAAATTTACTGAAGTATAGTTTCACCTCAAATGAGTTTCGGGATGTTTCCCACTTACCATTTAGACCATTTGGTATGCTTTTTTGAGAAGGAGGATTTTAATTTTTAAGACACTTCAAAACTTATATTAATTTTTAAGACAAAAGTGTTAAGAATAGGGGTACAATGGACATTTTTGTGATTAGTGTTAATGACATAATTTTTAAAAATACCAAACTTTTCTTATTTACAAAAAAGTCTCCCTCCTCCCCCCCTCCTCCACCTCCTCCGGCCACTCCTCCTCCCCTTGTTCCTCCATCTCGCAACGCTCCTCTCTATCCTCCTCTTGCTCCTCCATCTCGCAACGTTCCTCTCTATCCTCCGCCACTCTTAATCCTCAAACATTTAGGAAGATGTTTCAAATATCTAGAGAAATGTTTCAAACATTTACTGAGATGTTTGAAAATATCTGCACAAATATTTCAAACATCTGTGGAGATGTTTGAAATATCTCTGGAAAAAAGATCAAACATTAAAAAGAAAGAAGCAGAAGAAATATCCCGAGTGATGTTTCAAACATCCAGAAGATGTTTCAAACATCCCGGAGATGTTTCAAACATTCCGAGAGATGTTTGAAACAGTTCCCCGGGGATGTTTGAGGGATGTTTTGCATAATACTCATTTATGAGAATGCCTTGAAACATCTCGAAGGTATTTTGCAGAATACTCACTTTGTAAAATTTCATATTTTTCTCTTTCTCTCGTATATTTTAAACCACTAGAAGAAAAGAAAAAATAAAAAAAGAAGAAGAAGATGAAAATGAGATGAAGAGGGAAAGAAGAAAAAGACAAGGAAGAAAACGAAGAAGAAGAAGAAGATGACATAGACAAACCAGCAGCAACAACAACGAAAGTTGAAGAGAAAGAAGAAAGTAAGGAAGAAGAATGAGAGAATGAGGAAGAGAAAGAAGAAAGTAAGGAAGAAGAATGAGAGAATGAGGAAGAGAAAGAAGAAACAAGGAAGAAGGATAAGAAGAAGTAAAGAGGAGAAAGAAGAGGGAAATAAAAATTTGAAATAATTTGAATGATTATGATTTACTAAAATTTTTAATATTTACCCACAACTTTTATTATTTTTAATCTGACCCCCTAACCTCTTTAATTACACATTTTTTGTTAACAAAAAAATATGTCCTAAATTATTACACAAAGACTTCAAAAGTCTTTTTTTACCTGATTCTTCCTACTTTGGACAACTCATACTATTAACATTTCCTACCATTCCAAACACTCATCCCTAATACCAAACATCCTTATAACTTTTCAAACTGTGTCACACATATATTCTCTTGTTCCAATGATACCCTCAAATTATTAGTTTCCACGTGCTTGCAAAAATCATGTGTCTAACACGTAGTAGCACACTTGATGGGCCAAAACATTTAAGTTAGTTGATTTTCCAACTTTAGGCTACATGAAGCGTGTCCAATTAATTCCTTCATTAACCTAGTTTTGTCGACACAACCCAAATTTTCAAGGTAAATTGGAGTGTGGGTTGTTCTAATGGTGAGCATCCTCCACTTTCAACCAATAGATTGTGAGTTCGAGTCACCCAAAATTAAGATGGAAAACTCTTGGAGAGAGAGAATTTAAAAAAAAAATATTAGGATGTCCTAGGGTTAGCTCCTCCCTTTGAATTGGAATGTCCATTTAGTAGTGAAATATCAATTAACTATCCGGGGAAGGGTCCGGGAGCTTCTTTCCATTTCAAACTCCAACTTCTCCCCCTTTACTAAAGTACCAGTTCCAACTCAACTACAAATTGTTTCCTCATATATATAATAATATACACATCAACACATTGAAACAAACAAAAAAGAAAAAAACAAGTTTTCCACATTATATCATCACTTAACTTGGCATGTAAATAGGCATCAAATAATTTTAACAATAATATTCGGGGCTTTAATTATGAGTAAATTAGAGGAAAATTGCATTTTATGCCACTAATGATTAGCTAACTATTTTAAGCTATCGGTCAATTCTCGGCTGCTGATATATATATAATGAGAGAAATGTTTACATTCAAAGTTAAAGAAGGAGAGGGAGAGTTTGATTTCTATGGCAATGTTAAAGGAGGCCTGAACATGTCTATCCTCCAAACTTGTTTCCACTCTTCTAGAACACAATTTTTTTTTTTATGAGGAGTAATATTCATGTATACGTAAAGAATTTGCTTGACAAAATTTGTGGTTCAATCCCAACTTGCTAGATCTGCCTTTTTTTTTTCTTTTTTTCTTTTTTTTTCCTTACATTCATAGTTATTAGTAATGATATAAATATTGTCTCCTTTTGTCCTCTTGAGCCGAGGGTCTTTCGGAAACAGCCTCTCTACCTCTTCGGATAGGGGTAAGGTCTGCGTACACACTACCCTCCCAAAATTTCACTAGTAGGATTTCACTGGGTTGTTGTTGTTGTATTCATAATTATTAGCAGAGACAAACAGATGAAGTTGTAACGATAACAGATCCCAACTTCCTATTTAGAGTCAATTGTTTTGTTTATTAACAAGAAAGAATCTGACCACCAAGGGTTTGTGGTGAGATATATAAGACCCTCCACCTTTCGTAATAAGAGGTTTTGAATTCAAGGTGTAAAGATATAAAAAGTACTTTCTCTTTGTACAATACAAATTTAAATTTAAGCGAAACTTCAAATCGAATACCAACGTCTAGTGAGAACAAGGAAAAAGAAAAAGAACGTGAATAACTATACAAACGGCGATCATTTCGCCTGAAAACGCTCCATGACTGATTGATCCCATGTGTCAGGTAGCTAACATTCAAACACTTGCCTTGCAAAATAGCAAGCACTTTCATTTCTTTTTAATAGTTGACAATATATAGTCCGTTTATTATTTCATTTTTGTTTTTCCATCAACTAAAGCCGTTCATAAACGTTGACAAAATTAGAATTATTAAGCCATATCATTTGTTTTACTTAATTACAATTCACATTCATGCACTTAACTTACTAGGTTGCTGATGAGCCCTTGTTGCATCTTAAAGTTTAAGATCAACGACTTATCTATTCTGCTTGAATTATACTTCTTAAGATTTTCTTATGGTCTCCCGTTATGTTGGTAAAGTTATAATTGTATGATATATTCAAAACTACATTATTTGAACTTTTTTAGTTTCTCTAATAATAATAATTAATTATTCTCCGTCTCAATTTATGTGATAGTGTTTGCATGACTTCGGAATTTAAGAATAAAAGAAATACTTTTGAAACTTGTGTTATATATGAATCACGCCTTAGAAATTTCTCTAAGCAGCATGAACACTTTAGCATGTAATAACTTTAACTAGCTTCTATTATATTATCCATTTGCACCAAACATTTTTTTTTTAGATGAAGAATCATTCTTTTCTTTGACTTGGAATGCAAATATCATTTTTTATTTCCAGTTTAGAATGACCGCTTGAGTATATTTGAACATGCATATGATTAGATGCTATAGGCAAACATGCTCTTATCACATGGTTACCGTACATATCATAACACGAAACTAATAAAGTAGGCTCTTTTCGTTGAATTATGGTTAGCTTTACCAACAATCATGGAGTGATAACTACTTTTCATTTTTCATTAAAAATTTTGAGTTTCAGATTTCGAGTTTCGAGTCTTGAGAATGAAGTTATCTTTCATACGGTGTACTTTACCTCTAATGTAAAATTTATCAGCTCGAATCAGGTTTTAATCGAAACCCAATGCGGATACCGAAAACAAAAAAGTTATAGTTAGCTTCATTGATTCTTATAATCATTGGCCAATTATAGATCATTAGCAGTTAATATAACAACAAAAAGTCAGACCCCTCCACTCCTAAGAACACTTTAAATACTAGTCTCAAAACCCCTTTTTTCCTACCCTCTAACATAGAAAGAAAACCCCAACAAAAGAAAGAAACAAGAAAAATCCCACTCCGAACCCTCCCTCTACAACATGGCTAAGCTTTTAATTCCTTGGTGTTGTGTCTACTTGTTTTGTTTTGGATTGATTTTCTTGAAATCAAACGCAGCATCAGTAACGTACAATGTATTGAGCTTTGGAGCAAAATCAGACGGCAAAAGTGATGCAACTCAGCCATTTGTGAAAGCATGGGTTGCTGCATGCAGCTCAGTGAAGTCAGCCACCATTTACGTTCCTGGTGGACAGTACTTAATTAAGGCTGCAACATTTAGAGGGCCATGCAAAAGTAAAATCACTGTAAAAATCGATGGAACTCTTGTGGCTCCGTCGGATTATCGCGCCGTTGGCAACTCCGGCTACTGGATTTTGTTCATTCAAGTTAACCGGATTTCGGTCATAGGAGGAACTCTTGATGGAAATGGAGCTGGATTTTGGGCTTGCCGGAAGTCAGGGAAGAATTGCCCTGTTGGAGCTAGGGTAAGTTGTCAACTTATCATGTTTTCTCAGTTTAACTATATATTCGATATTCTTATTAGTCTGTGTTACGTTTGTCAGACTAATTTGGATTCGTCATTAATTAAGGATAAAAAACACTTCTTTTCCACTCCTTAAGCTCGAAACTCAAATCTCTGGTTAAGCTACAGTGGAAAGTATTTAGTGGAGTATTAATTTCATTTAGTCATATATATGTCTATTTTCCAATTCAATTATCTTAATATATGTGTTAATGCAGTCTATAACGTTCAACTGGGCAAATGATGTTGAGATTGAAGGCTTAACATCAGTCAATAGCCAGTTAATGCACTTGGTAATAAATAGCTGCAAGAATGTGATGGTTAAAAATGTAAGAATAATAGCACCAGAGTTAAGTCCCAATACTGATGGCATTCATGTCCAATCTTCAACTGGTGTTACTATCACTGGGACAAGTATCAAAACTGGAGATGATTGTATATCTATTGGCCCTGGCACAAGAAACCTTTGGATGGAGAAGATTCAATGTGGACCTGGACATGGTGTTAGGTAAATTATATTCACTTGTTTCTTTTCATTGCCAATATACCCTAATGTTTGCAATTTGTTTTCATTGGCAATGTACCAAAAGGCAAGCGTAAGACAAATCGAATACTTTAGGGATAAAATCTGAACCATTTCTCTTTCTAATTTCACTTATCATAACAAACTTAATTGTGTTTTTGGTTTGTACTTTGCAGCATTGGAAGTCTAGCAAGAGATTACAAAGAAGATGGTGTGCAGAACGTGACATTAATTAATTCAGTGTTCACTGGATCTGATAATGGATTAAGGATAAAGTCTTGGGCAAGACCCAGCACTGGTTTTGTCACTAACATTAATTATCAAAACATTATCATGAGGAATGTTGACAACCCAATCATCATTGATCAAAATTACTGTCCCAACAACCAAGGCTGTCCAGGCCAGGTAATTCCCAAAAAAAAGTGTTTAAATTTACAAAAAGAAATACCAAATTGATGAATCTAATTTGGTATTCAATTGCATATAAATTGGCAGACTTCTGGTGTAAAGATCAATCAAGTGACATATCAAAATATATTAGGAACATCAGCAACGCAAGTAGCCATGACTTTTGACTGCAGTCCAAGCAATCCATGCAGTGGAATAAAGTTACAAGACATAAAGCTTACTTATTTGAACGGAAAAGCTCAACCTATTTGCAAGAATATTAGAGGAAATACTGGAGGAATCATCTTGCCTCATAATTGTTTATATTAACCCACTGTTGGGTCTTTTTTTTCTTTCTTTTTTTTCCTTTTTGGGGTGGCAGGAAAGAGGCATATATGCAAGGGACTACATATTCTTTTTTTGTAGGGTTCCAAATTGTTGTATTGTGTTTCATGGGACTTTTCTCGACTGTAAATTATGCCATATGTAAATTTAAAGAAAAAGAAAAAAAAAGGTTTTGTTCCAGAACAAAGAAGTGAATACACATTATTCAAAAGCATTAGTTACACTTTGATTATTTTACAAACGGAAAAGGCCAAATATATATATGTACTATCGAAAAAGGTTTAAAAATACCTTTTGTTATATATTATTTGATAATATTAGCCCCTACCGTTATACTTTGAGTCAAAATTACTCTTAATTTTAACGGAGCGACACGTGACAGCTCATGAACAAAAAAACTTATCTCTCTTTTTTACCCGCTTCATTTAACTTCAGCCCACCCATAGGCCATAACCCAACCCAATGTCACCTAGGGTGGGCGTCAGTCGGTTCAGTCGGTTAGTATGAAAGTACAGTTCGGTTTTCGGGTTTGTAATATTAATAACCAAACCAAACCAAAGTATTTACGGTTCGGTGCAGTTTTTTCAAGGTTCGGTTCGGTTATTTTTGGTTTAGTTTTTCAGTTATTAACAGTGCAAGATTTTTACGGTTATTAAGAGTGATATCCACCTTGATAGTGTCGAGGTGGATAACTTATTGCATACAAACTAGAAAGGAGATGAATCCAATTATGGCACTAAAAGCATAGATTATGCTCCACAAATTCCCTCATCCTCAGGTAATACTTACTACTCGCCATGAAGTGAGTAAAACTACAAACACTGAGATTCATAAGTACCTTACAATTGTTGAAAGAAAGCAAGAGTATGTGTATGGGAACTTCACCACAGGAGAACGAAAAACAGAAAGAGACAATCTAAACACATCAGTGAGATGAGTATGGGAATAATACTTCTTCCTTAAGGCAGCATAGTTTGCACAGAGAAAGAGCAGAACAATCAGAATCAGCAAGACATCAGAAGAAACAGATAAGAAAGGTAACTCTGAATACTCAACGATTATTAACTTCAATTTTTCGGTTTAACCGAAAACCGAAGCACTAAAATCGCAAACCGCACTGAATACTGAAATTTAATAATTTTTAAATCGCACACCGACCGAATAATCGGTTAAACCGACACCGAAAAACTAAAATTTATGGTTCGACCGGTATTATGCTCACTCTTAATGTCACCCCCTTCTGCAAACTTCATTCTTCTTCTTTGAGAAAAAAGAAACAAACAAAAAACAGTGGACTAACCATCATCAAAGAGTTGGAAAATCCATAGCCAAAAAGAAATCACAACAAAATACCAAATACTTAATCGAATTGGCACCGACATATACTCCGACACCAATAAAGCTCGGCGAATATCTTCATTTTTTCCCGATCAATCACACCACTTTGAGTTCTTTTTTAAAATAAAAAATCAAAAGAACATCTTCAAATATATTCTTTAACAATTTGATTTCTAAGTCAGATTTTACACAGCAATAACTGGTTGGAATCAATTCTTTAATTAATTTGAAGCTTCGCAACTCAAACAACATATTCAAATCTCCAGCGAATCAAAAATTTTAGATTCGAAATTCAAGGCCCAAAAGAGCTTCAATGGTGGTGCATCGGTTCTACAGTGGTGAAATGAGCGGTGGTTCAGCGGAGCAACTGTGTGAGTAAGGTATGGTTGTGGTGTTTTAGTATGATGTGAGGTCTTTAATGGAGTTTTCACACTATTTTTATACCCTAGTCAAATTAAAATCCACCCCTAATTTTGTACGCATCACCCAACCCAAGATGGCATGGATCAAGGTTTAATTAATCGGGAAACAAAATTGAAGAGAACTATTAGCTACTATAGTTGAGCAGCAGCCATAGCTCACAAAAAGAGAAAGGGGTTCATCTTCTTCACTAGAACTATTTTTTTAACTCCATTAAAGACCTCACATCATCCTAAAACACCACAACCATAGCTTACTCACACACAGTTGCTCCGCTGAACCACCACTCATTTCACCACCGTGGAACCGATGCACCACCATTGAAGCTCTTTTGGGTCTTGAATTTCGAATCTTAAATTTTTGATTTGTTGGAGATTTGAAGGTGTTGTTTGACGCGTGAAGCTTCAAATTAATTAAAGAATTGATTACAACCAGTTATTGTTGTGTAAAATCCGACTTAGAAATCAAATTGTTAAAGAATATATTTGAAGATGTTCTTTTGATTTTTTATTTTAAAAAAGAACTCAAAGTGGTGTGATTGATCGGGAAAAAATGAAGATATTCGCCGAGCTTTATTGGTGTCGGAGTATATGTCGGTGCCAATTCGATTAAGTATTTGGTATTTTGTTGTGATTTCTTTTTGGCTATGGATTTTCCAACTCTTTGATGATGGTTAGTCCACTGTTTTTTGTTTGTTTCTTTTTTCTCAAAGAAGAAGAATGAAGTTTGCAGAAGGGGTTGACATTGTCTCTTCCTCTTCCTCCTCCTCCTTCTTCGTATAGCAAAGCAGCACAACTAACTATTACCCTCGGGTACTACATGAACCACAAGTTTAATTCCAACGGTACAACTGGGTTATGGATGGGCAGAGGTTAAATGAAGCGGGCGAAAAAAAAGAGATGAGTCCTTTTGTTCATGAGCTGCCATGTATTCCTTCATTAAAATTAAGGGTAATTTTGACTCAAAGTATAACGGTATGGGCTAAGATGACCAAATAGTATAACCGAGGATATTTTTAAATCTTTTTCGATAGTACATGGATATATTTGACCATTTTCCATTAATTAAACCTTGATCCATGCCATCTTGGGCCGGGTAATGCGTACAAAATTAGGGGTGGGTTTTAATTTGATTAGGGTATAAAAATTGGGGATAGGTCTTTTTGTTCCTGAGCTGCCATGTGTCCTTCTGTTAAAATGAAGGTAATTTTGACTCAAAGTATAACGTTAGGGGCTAAGATGACCAAATAGTATAACATAGGGTATTTTCAAACCATTTTCGATAATACAACGATATATTTGGTCAGTTTCCGTTTTACTATTGACAAGGAGAAACATGAAGCAACCCCCTCTCTACTCTCTATTACCTCTCCCTCTCGGACCACGCCTATATCTTTATATAAATAACCGATCAGATTTATTATATACTTTTCCTAATNATAGAATATACATATTACATATATATATATATATAAAAAATGTTAGGGGCTAAGATGACCAAATAGTATAACATAGGGTATTTTCAAACCATTTTCGATAATAC